GAATAGTTCGACTTGTCGATCGAGTTGAATTTGAGTATTTTGATACCAAACTCAAATAATTCGTAAAATTAATCGAACTGTTATATTTAAATATATTTTAATTATTTTAATTAAAAAACATCTCAAACTTGAGCTATAATTTAAGTATAAATAATCAAATTTTTATCGAATATGAAAATTGAGTTTTATATTTATATATTAATCGAGTGAGCGAACTTGAGTAATCGATTTTTATCTCGAATCAAGCTCGAATTTAAAAAATAAAAATTAAATTAAATTTAAATCGAATTTCAAATCTTAAATTTCAAATCAAACTCAAACTCAAATTTAATATTTATCTATTCAAACCCAATCGATTATATATGAGCTCTTTCCTTTCACATTGCATGTGATATTTCTCTCTTTTTAAGTGTTAAAGGACCAAGAAAATGTTGTCATGCATGTGACAAATCATGCCATATTTGACTTAAATGATTCCGAATCATTAAAGACTTTACAACCACTATTTTAACACGTCTCTTTCTTCCTATGAATCAAAGAAGAGCACGTCCCATGGAAATCTGTAAAAGATCCAGCATGCCATAATGTTCCAAACTACGAGCTTATACTAGGCTAAGAGATTTGCAAGTAAATAACTATATTTTTGGTCCAAGCAGGTAATACCTGATCATGAAAATGAAAAACACAAGATTTGCAACCAGTTAGCTACCAGATCAGGATTGATATAACAAAAATATGAAAGTGATATATTAAAATTTTAGTAAAAATTATATACGAGTTTATAAAAAATTTAAAATTTTTTTTATATTTTTTATATGAATATAAATTATGATACATAATTTTCATATAAAATATAATATAAATTTATAAATTATTAAAGATAAATTATATATAAACATTTAATCAAGCCGAAATAATTTTATCTCCTGATATTTAAAAAATTATACTTAACCCCCTTGTATTTTACTCCGTTAACATTATCTTAAGCTCCGTTAGCCTTTCTTTTCCTTCTTCTCCTAACTTTACCCATGAGGCCACCAACCCACCATTCATCATCATCCTCTCAAGCTTTCTCTCCTTCCATTTTCAAATTTTACTTATCAAGCCATCACTCATATACACCTCCTCCATACTCATCAAATTTTTTTACAAATATACGAGGAAAAATACTATTATGCTAAGCAAATTGAATAAATTTTTTTTTTCCTTTGTTTCACTTCTCTTATTTTTCATTTTACAAATTTGATAACGGCCAACAATTAAAAATCATCTATTGAATCTCATTTTTCATAATTTATTCTTCTAATAATCTTACCCAGCTTTATTTTTCTTCAAACTTAAAAATTCAAAATTCTTTTTTTAATAGAACCTAATGTATTGATAAATTTTTAATTAAAAAACAAAACAAAATTAAGATAGATGGGTTCGATTCTTTTACTATCACTAATGAAATAAACAACAATAATGGATTGCTTAATTGTGCTTTCATCTTTATTTCCACCAAACTCAATTACTTTGTTTTTCAATGAATCGTTGAATTGGGTCTTGAAATTTCTAATATGCAAGTTTTTTATTTTGAGACAACAAGATAAGATTAATATACATTTTGTTGTTACAAAGTGAAAAAATTAAAAAGATGTGAAAAAAAAAAAGATTAGAATTTAGAATTTCATCACAAATGCATACGGTATGATTTGGGATTCACCAAAAATTTTTTTTAAAAAAAAAAACAAGTTGCAAATGTTTGGAGGTAGAAAGAGAGTAAGAAACATTTATGAATGTTGGAAACAATGAAGGAAAAGATGAAAAAAAAGATGAAGAATTTCCTTTGTTTGGTTTTAGAGAGACAATTTATCTTATTTTAGAGAGAGAACAAATTGATGATTTTGCGTAAAAAAATAATAAAATAAATTATAAAATAATTAAGTGTCATTTTTTAAATTTCAAAAAATATTTTTAATTCATCTTAGATCATAAATTATTTTTATATATTTTATTCAATTATTAATATTTTAAACGACACAAATATAAGAATTATTAAGTTGAATTCTGATATATATCCCATTGTCGGATATATGTGTCTAGAAACATGTAATCAACAGTCAGGACAGATACTCCGAAGCATTGCTGAAAGGAAAATTACATAAAATAAAAGGTAGCTTAGCTAGCTAAGTCCAACTGCTAGCCAGTCACAGTTATTCTTTATGCACTCACTTTTATTAAGGTTTGGTATTTCTTTTTCATGGGTTTGAAAAATAAATAATATTAAAGACAATTATACTTCTTCTTATCTTTTAATTAATATTTTAATAATTGTATTCACCTCAGTTTTTTATTCATAGCTTTACACTTCTGGTTTTTTTTATCTGAAATTGTCAAATTTAAATTATTATCCATCCACTTGCAACTACATGACAAAACTTGCTTGTACATGGGGGTTCTGATTACTATTCCATAGCCATCAACTGTAGACATTTTTTACTAAATGCCCAAGCCATCTTTTTTTTTTTTTTTTCTTATTTTCTTAAAAGCAGTGACAGGGCACTATGTATTATATATTATATAAATACATTAATCTGTCAAAAAAAAAAATTAAATGGCCTTGCCGCTAGCAGCAGCCTTTGTAGTAATCTGCAGCTTTGTGCAAACTTTACGGCATTCTCATTACTCAATCATCATCGCTGTCCTTTTTTATGATGGCTGCTGCTGCCAAAGTGAAATGCTCTCAATGCTTATATCTTTCACATATATATATACGTGGTAGTTGAGGTTCTTCTCGAACACCAAGAAGGGTAGATAACACAGTGAACTCGAGCAAGCAACAGCCTCTCTCTTACTAGCTTCTGATCATATATAGCTGGTGCTCGAACAAAAGAAAAAAGATTAATCATGGCTCCTGTGACATTAGATGAGACCATTAAAATGGAAGAAAATGTGTCTGGTAAGAGAGAATTAGTCAACAAGGGAGCATGGACAGCAGAAGAAGATAGACAATTGGCTGAGGTTATTGCAGTTCATGGTGCTAAAAGGTGGAAAACAGTTGCAATCAAAGCAGGTAACTAAGTAATTGATGTACCCTATTTGATTGATTTAAGACTTGAGGGGGTGTTTGCCGATTTTTTTTTTTTTTTTGCAGGTTTGAGTAGGTGTGGTAAAAGTTGCAGACTGAGGTGGATGAATTACCTGAGGCCTAACATCAAGAGAGGAAATATATCAGACCAAGAAGAGGACTTGATACTTAGGCTTCATAAACTCCTTGGAAACAGGTTAATTCAGAATTATAAATATGAATTTGGATTATTGCAATCGATATATTCCAAGTTGGTATCAGTGATTGAACAGCTTTTATTTATCTGATGGCTTTCCCTCAGGTGGTCTCTGATTGCAGGAAGATTACCAGGAAGAACAGATAACGAGATCAAGAACTATTGGAATTCTCATTTGAGCGAGAAAATAAACCAAAAAGATAGACAGACTGGTGCTTCAGCAAGAGGAAACTGCAAAGCTCAAAAGAGATTAGTGGAGAATGCCAAAGAGGAAATGAAAAAAGATAATACATCTACTGGAGGTGAGGACTCAAATATCAGCTTCGATGTGGATGAGTTCTTTGATTTCTCCAATGAGGATCCCCAGAACTTGGAGTGGATGAACAGATTTCTTAATGAGGGTTTTAATTGAAACTTTATGGAAATGCAACCTTTTGTTTTCTATCTCCTTGCACTATCATGAATTGATGCAATCCTTACTGATCTGTAAAACATTGTTATCTCTTCATGAATTTGGCAGGATTCATGTTGTGTCAGCTCTCCTAGTTGTTGAAATGGTGAAACTGCAGCAGGATTCTTTTGATTGGTCCTAATCACTTTAGTGAATGGAATATCCTTCGGTTTTTTTTTCCCCAACCTGATTTTGAAAACTCACCATACCAAAAAGTAAAAGAAAACAGGAAAAGGCAGACAAGAAAACAGACCAAAAAGTAAGGCTGAGACAGACCATGGTTGATTTCTATTTATCAGTCGTCCAGCTAAAGCGAATGTTATGACCGACCACCAGGGCAAAGCTATGTGATACACGTTACTCCAACTCAACCAAGTGAACTGAACTTTGCATCAAACGTGCTAATATGTAAGTTCCAAGACGACAAAGACTGCATATCGTACAGAAATAGTGGGCATAGATTCCTGATTTCGATTGGTTTAACCTTACAAATTTTCCATCCCCCACTCGCCCCCCAAATTCTTTAGGAAAGATTTAGGGCAAGATCCATAGATACTAGATTGCCTTAATGCCTGGCAATAAGCAGTCCTGCAGAGACCTAAACCGTGCTTTGGAAGGAAATGTTCAGAGTTCAAAAAAGACGACATAGTTTACTCCTGAAAACTTCTTTCCATCCCAATCTCCTGAAAACTACTCGGCCCTTTAATCTAAAGGAACGAATTTAAATTACAGACTCATGTGCTTCTCTTTTTGAGTCATTGTTTATATGCAATGCGAATTCAGATTCCAGCATAAAAAAATCAACAAAAATATTCATTAGCCATTTACTTCTGTACCATGAGAATGAAATAACAAAAGAGTTCCCCCCAAAGTTTAACGGTTCCCACCCGAAAAAAACCTGATCAATTAAGCAGGTGATAAGGTATAAGTGTCATAAATTGCTAGGATAGCCCCATAGGGTCAAGTGTAAATGAAGTACTGAATTCCCTCTCAGAATCATCTACTGCTTAAAAATGGCATCTCTGAACTACTAAGTTGTTAGCCATGATGGGTACATATCTTACGCATGCGAAGCACGTTTGATGAAGTTTCTAATGCATGGCAAAGATTTTATAAAGTTCTACATGGCAAGCCCTAAAGAGTAATAATTTCTGAAGGGGGCAAAGGTAAGCAGCAATAATTCCAAGGACAATTTGTCTTGACAACAGAACATATTCAACAAGTGCAGCCAATTATACAAAAGATGCATAACTCCAAGATTTACAGAACGTACTTGAAGCATGTGAACCAAGATATGTTTTCTATATTTGAATTATAAACAAATTGGAATGTACAACATGCATAAGTCAATGAAATCAACAACAAAAAAAAAGAAGAAAAAACAAAATGATAGATGCACGTGTACTGCTGTTCCAATCGTCTCCTTGATCAGAACGTTCATAATACCAGCAACAACATTCCCTTGCTCGTGTGGAAGTAAGAAGTTAGTATCTGCTATACAAGCACCATTGTTTCAGTGATAAATGAAAAAAAAAAAAAAGCAGAGATTAAGAGGATGGTTCTACAAGGACTGTGTAATGGAGAATTGAAGGACACAAATGAACTGGTGGTATTACAGAGTTGACAGTTTTATCTCAGTAGATCCATCATCGAGAGTTATCCCCATGCCATGGAACAGGCATAATTAACCACAAGTTTACCATCAAAACCAAAATTCTGGAATGCAAAGGCAGCAATAGTTAGACAAAAGATAAGCATAGACAAGACCAGATAACCAATTAAGTTTTCCACATAGCTTTTGTGTATTTTCAACTCTATTAGGAGACACAAGCAAGTCATGGAGTGGCATCCTCCCTAAGAAAAATTTTCAGTCCATTTTTCAGTGATCATGCAACAAGGAGAAGAAAACTTCTCTTGATTTCAATTCCAATACGCAGCAGCTGATATATAGCAGTCATCATCTTCAAGGAGTTCTTATAAATACCTAGAGTGTTTAATGGTGAATAGAATAGACGTGTAAAAAAGAATCTACTTTCAATGGAAAAAACATTTCTGTCAGAGTACACAGACCAAGCTACTGAGCCCGTGAAGCAATGGACCATTTCATGTGAAAACTCATCTAATTTTGTCATTCAGGGCCCAAATGATATGCTAAATAAAGGGAAGTAGTTGCAAATTTAAGATAAATAATTATCTCTATACATGAAAACAATACAGACATTCAGAAAAAGCATCCCATCTAAGTCAGTAGTTAAATATGCTATGCCCAAATAAATTTCTTTGACATTATCACCATATAAATGAAAAACATGTTGTGTCTCTGAGGATGACACATTTGCATAAAAAAGGTAAATTTCTAAGCTAAACATCTTTGTTCTTTCCTATTCAGGTTTTTGTTTTTGGACAAACATCTAGTCATGAATGAAGATACACCGAATCAATTGCACAATACAGAAATCTACAAATACTCCCACAAGAGTAATTCACAGAACTAAAACCAGCAAGAAAAAGTGAGCAAGTATTATGACTTACATTATACAGGTCAATCACCAATTCATCTGGGCTTGGTGAGAAGGCACTGTTGACATACAGAAACTACAAAACAAGGGATAAGAAATCAATACTATGCAAACAACAGATTGAAAGTAATTTGACAAAACTACAACATAAATAAATTAATTACCAGTGTATCCTGGTGCAGTTGTCGGCGTAAAAAATCAATAACTTTAGCAAATTTATCAGCTCCAAGTATCTGTCAAGTCAAAAGCTTTTAAAAAAAGAAAGATACATTTCATTTAATAAAACAATTACACGCACTAAGTGATTAAAAGAAACAATCAGGCTTAAAACATGCATCAATTATTATAAGTGTTTCACATGGAAACCCTGAAAATAATGGACAAAAACACACTCAAGAACATGATTTAAGGAATGGTTTCACACTGATGTACAAAACTTTTGCAATGCCCATGCTTCATTATAACAACTAAAAATCCTACAAAAATCAAAGAAATACCTTGAATTTGGCTTGCTTTAGAATTGGGGCATCCCCAGTTGCTCTCAAATGAACAACAACTGCATCAAATTGAAAAACCCAAATAAAAGAAATTAGGGAAATTTGATTTAAAAAAAAAAAAAAGAAAACCGAGAAACTCAAAATTTTAAGCGCAATTAAAGTGTTTTCAAGATTTGAAATGGGATGGAAAACTAAGGTTCATGGGTTTTTTAAGAATGGTTCAGATGATTGACCTTTTCGAACAGAACTGGGTGACTCAGCAGCCATGTTTACATGAGCTAAACATGAAACAGGATACGAGTTTTAGCCCTTAAGGGGCGAATTGAAGAAATTGCTAATTCCAGGGTAGATTTTGAAGTTTCCAAGGGGAAAACTGGGCCGATATTTTTTACAAAACTGAGCTTAATGTAAGCCCGCCCAATTTTATCCACTTCATAGGTTTTTTTTTTTTTTTTTTTTTTTAAACCTAAAAATTACTATTAAAATTAACCTCTCCAATTTTGAATCCATTCTCTATCATTATAATATATTTTAAAAATTAATTACATTAAAAAATATGTATTAATTCTCTAACTTTATTTGTAAAATTTAAAAATTCATTATATAAAATAATAATTTTAGTTTTTTTTTTTAAATGATAGAAAAAAGCTATAACCCACTTGAGTTATAATCATTACATCCAAACTTTTTCATTAATAAAAAATTATAAATCCATTAAAAAACAAAAAAAGCATGTCCAATGAAATAATTATCGTTATGCATTCCAACAACAAATCATTAGTTTAATTAAATAACTATATAAAATAGATAAATATTTCTTTTTGTTTGGATCTTTTAAGGATATCCTAAAGCTATTAGTGATTTATTTTTTCTTCACCAATTAGATTACCTTGTGTGATATGATGTTTGTGAAAATATAAAAAGACATCAAAATAAAAAAAAATATAAAAGTGAGTCCCATTTTAGGGAGAAAATGGGAAAAAAGTTCTAAGTTTCATTGATTACCTTAAAATTAACTTTTTTATTCAAAAGTTAATTAAGTGGAGATAAAAAGGATACTTACCTAACCCCAAAACCTAATCCTAAATGAAGCTATCATTTGCCTAGTAATTAGCCTATGTTGTCACATATGACATAATAATGGAAAGGAAACAAAGAATAATAATGCATGTTAAAGTTCTTTTGATAAGAAAGTGTCAATCATATTGGTGTAAAATTTTTTTTAAACAATATTAATAAAAGAAAGATAAATAAGCAATTATTTTATTTATTATTAATGAAAGTTTTAAATTTTATTAATGAAATTAATATACATTTTATATATCTATTGCTTGTAATATCGATGTAAAACATTTTAAGCATTAAATAAATATAAGTAAGCATGGAAGGGAAACAAAGGGCAATAATGCATGTTAAAGTTCTTTTGATAAAAAAAGTTTCAATTGTAAAAAATTTTAAACAATATTAATAAAAGCAAGATAGATAAGCAATTATTTTATTTATTATTAATGAAAATTTTAAATTTTATAAATGAAATTAATATAATAAAAATATTTCTTATAAAAAATTAATTAAAGAAATTTATATGTCTCTTGCTTGTAATATTGATGTAAAACTTTTTAAACATTAATAAATATTAGTAAGGATAGTGTTTATGACTGTTTTCCAAAGTTTAGTATATTGGGTTTCATTAGAGGTTAATTAAGGTTTAGGGTTTGTCAAAGCAAAAAATATATATAATTACAAGCTTTCTTCTACAAATCAATTTTCTTTTTAAATTTATCATATAAATTTCCACCAAATTTAGAAGATTTGGTGACATGAAAATGATAGGTTGAGCCAGCTAATCCCGACAATATCATAAAGTTTAGGGGCATAGCTAGGAGGTTAGCAGGGGCTATGGTCCTCTCAAAAATATTTTTTACACCATTATAATAGAATACTTTATCCCACAAAAAATAATACTCAATTTTTTTTAATAAAATTATTATTTGACCCATCTTTTTTCATATTTTTTATTTCGTGTCTAATAAAGCTTTAATTAGTTATTATATACTTGGTTTGATAAATAAAAAAAATTATTATTTGCTCGATGCACCTACCTCTAGATATAAATGCTTTAGACAATCAAACATGAAATTATTTACATTAGAAAAAAAAAAGATTGGAATTTTCAAAATGATTTTTTCTTTTAATAAAGATTTAAAAATGGAAAAGATATGGTCTTGTAAATTATTAACTATAGTATAGAATATAAAATGTCCTTAATTTTTCTTAATAATTTAAACCTTAAAGATATGCACAAAAATTATTAGCAGAATCTCACCTATCAAATTTGATTATTGAGTACTCTTACGAATACTTGTTATACATTGAAAAATATATACAATTTTTTTTGCTTGGGAAATAATTAATTTTATGGTGCTTTGGATCTTCTTCTCATCAATATTTATAATAATTGTATGATTTAATTCATGCGGTTTATATGCTAAATACATAATATTATCATGTAATAGATAAATATTATTCAAAATAAAAAAGAGTCGAGCTCGAGAAATTTGAAAATATTTTTAAAATAAAATAATAGTTTAGTCTGATTTTGAACTTTTGAATCACAATAGAGTAAGCAATGTACATAGAGTGGAAAATTTAAAAGGACATCTATCACATTTTGGGTGGGGTGAATGCTTGGTAACATTTCTAGTAGACCAAACCCTTATAATCTGTTTTGCCCGTGAAGTGAATTTATTATTAAATGCCATCATGATACATACATGTATGTTAGCCTAAATGATCGAGTTTAAATCTCTCTTCATTTATAAGTAAATTTTTTAGAATAGGATAAGAGGTTATAAATGTTGGTATTTGACTTATAAATTTAATATGTAAATATTATATTTTAAGATTAATTATATAAATTAATTGAATTAAACTTTATATTCTATTAACTATGCTTTTTCCTTCTATCTTATTTTTTTCTTTTTGATTGTATATTATAGGCTTCCTTTTTCTTTTCTTCTAATTAAGTTTTTGATTCATGTATTATAAGGGGTTTGATTCTTGATCAAATTCGCCGGGATCATACTAGTTATGGATCTTCAATTTTATCAAAATTAACCTTGCTCCACCTTAAGCTATTAATTCTAATTGTGTCCATGCCACATTTATTATCAACCAACAAAAAGATCAAAAGGACAAAGAAAAGAGAAAAATGAAGAAAAAGGAAACAAACAGATATGATATCATGCAAGCCTTTTCATTGGAATCGTACATACACAAAATCGACTCCCATTTTTGCAATGATGATTTAAAGTGCCGCCAATAACAGCTAAGAAAGAGTGGGACCAAAAGAAAGATTCCTTGTACGAATAGTTTAACCAGGAATGGTTTCAGGGGCCAGATCATAATCAAGAAAACCACTTGACATGATATATTTAATAATACTTCTAGTAACATGCATGTATTCTGCAGATAGAGTTTTTGGTAGTTTATCAAATTAATTTGGATCTGCTTGGTCTTGGAGCCAATCCAATTCAAACTCCATTAAAGAAGCCATGGCTGTAAAATCCACGTCTTGAATCATTGTGGTTACATGTGTTGATGAATATTGGCCCTGTTCACATCTGACAGTGTTACTGTCACTGTGATCTCCTTTGTTTTGAAAATGAGATGGCTGTAGTTGTGACAATTCAGAGTTGAGAAATTCTGATAAAAAAATTTCATCCACCTCTAAATCGATCAAGAAATTCGATGGATCATTATCCTCCTTGGGAACATGTTCTGATGATTCGGGTTCCTCAGGTAGCGAAAAGGGTCGTGGCTTTGATAGCTTAGAGTCTTCAAGTTGTGGTTCTGGCCTGTGACTACAGACTTTTGTGCACCTTGTTGCCTTGGTCCTGATCACGCATGAATTTGAATTTGCTTTAGAAGGCGGCCTAAAGGATGTTTCAATGGAGGGCTTAGCCTTGTTTTGGGATTGATTTGATGGTTTATGGTTCCTTAAAGAGTGGCTTTGTTGGTTTTGCAACTTTTTGCCGATGTAGGTGTTCCAGTAGTTTTTGATTTCATTGTCTGTTCGCCCTGGAAGCCTCCCAGCTATAAGGGACCATCTGCACACAAAACTATTTCCATCAACATACATCAATTAATGTGCGTTGTTCCATTTTCCTTATAGCACAAAAAGAGAAGAGAAAGAAAAGAGACTAGGCTTTTAGATCTGTTTTGAAGGCATCTGTATTATTGTTATTATGCATGCAAAGTGCAATACTTTTTCCAAGATTCCTCATAGTTGCCAGAAGTTTGATTGCCTTGCCCAATACTGCAATATATACTAAATATTTGCATCTAATAAATGGGTGGGAAGGGAAGAAAAAAAAAAAAAGAAAAAAGAATTCCAAACCTGTTTCCCAGGAGCTTGTGAAGCCTGATAATGAGTTCCTCTTCATCATGAGTAATGTTCCCTCTCTTGATATCAGGTCTCAGATAATTTAGCCACCTTAATCTGCAACTCTTCCCGCATCTTTTAAGACCTGCATGATCAGCCATATTGGCTTTAACAAATTCTTCTAAGTTGAAGCTTCAGATTAGTTCAAAGTTCACCTAATCAATTAAAATGCTCCCTCACCTGCTCTTTTTGGAAGGTTTCTCCATTGCCCTTCGCCATGGATTTTAACGTAGTCTGTCAGAATTTTGTCTTCCGTTGCTGTCCATGCTCCTCTATTCAACCCTTCTTTTGAGCAACAAGGACTCCTCCCCATATCCAAGCAACACCCTTCAAAGAATACACAATTCTCAGTGATTTTTGTTTCTAGTTTCCAAGGAGTTGGGGCAAGGACAATTCTCAGTGATTTTTGTTACTAGTTTCCAAGGAGTTGGGCGGCGACAGAAAAGAGAAAAGATAGAGTGTGTATCTGGTTTTGCTAACACTTGATACGTTGTTCTTATTTATATAAGACCGTGCAGGATCTGTAAATCCTCACTTCATTTATCAAATTATATACGATTGAATGGCTTTAGTTGCATGTGCAAAAGGGGCTTCAATAGTATTATAATAAATGACAAAATCAAATCACCTTTTTAAACACCCTATTTAATCCGATTTTCAATTCATATTTTGCGATTAAATTTTTAGATTTTAGGTTTTTTTCTTATTTTTATTTTATTTATATTATTGATTTATTATATTATGAAAAAAAAGAAAAAAATAGAATTTACCTGAAATAAAAAAAATAGAAAAGGATTAAAATTCCCAAAAGGATGTTAGATTGAAATTGTTATATTAAGTTGACTTGAAATACTAGGCTAATGCAATTAGCCTTATTTTTGGGGATATAGCTGAACAAGAATTGAAGTTGGATTCTATGATTAAATTTTGGTGGAAAAAAAAAAAAAAAACTGTTGGAAATCTTGTTTTGTGTAGGTTAAGTTTGAATGCCTATTTAAAAATCTTAATCAAGCAACAGGGAGATTAATCAACAATAGGAAGAAAAGCAGAAAAGCAAAAAAATACAGAAAAAAACATTAAGATGCTAGAGAAAAGTTAAAAATATTTCTAATATTTAAATATTAAAATTAATAAAAATAATAAATAATAAGAATAAGTTAAAGACCATGTCAATTAAAGTTAAAAAGATAAATTAAGATTAATTGGTACAATTTTAGAATGAGAATTGTGGGAGTGTTATAATTTTTTTTATATATAATTGAATTCCTGAACTCAGTTATATTTTTTAGGAACTTTTTATCAAGATTAGGATAAAAAAAATCATTAGTCAAGTTTAAGATAATTTTAAAAGAAATAAATTCACTTATGTAACCAATAACACCTAAATAAAAAAAAAAATTTGATGATGATTGCATATGTTGTATCTAATAATTAAATTCTAGAACATTCACATTACGAGACTTCAATTAAAAAATTAGACTATTAAATTAAATAAGTAAATACAAGCATGAAGCATGTATTTGCATATTAATTGGATGTTGGTGATGATAATGATATATCCATAGACCTTCCACTTGACCTTGTACTATATTACATTTTTCATCTGCCTTTCTCTTCATCAGGTCCTGGCTGCTTACCTCCCAATCTAACTTTCTTTCATGAGCTTGAAAGTTTGTTGAAAAACTAAACCATCTCGCAATAAATATATAAATAAAAGCTAACATGCCAATCAAAATACACCTTTGCCATGTATCTCTAGAAACTTTCATTTATAATCGATGGATCCATCGATCCTTGTAAAGAAACAAATGCTGATGATCAGCTGATGCTAACAACCTGAAAAATTAATATTACCATGATTACTGAATAGCATTAAGAATCAGATTATGTGCTTCGTCTCTGAAATTGAATCTATAGCTGCAGAAACCCCCCGCCCCTCTCTCCAATTATCATTTTTCATTTATTTTCTTGATTCTAACAACTTGCAGAAATGTTTGGGAAATCTCGAAAACCCTACGAAGTTAGCAAATATATTGGAAAAGTAACCATCGAAAGAGTTCTACTGTTGAAATTAATACATATATGCTAACTGGCATATGGAAGAAAATTGGGGCATAGGACAAAGGTAATAAAGTAGAGAATCTCTTCTATTAAATATTAATGAACATCAACTTGATAAAAATATTGAAAAGAAAGAAAAAGAAAAAGCAATGGTCCCAAACCTCAACCTTGGTGCATGGAAACCTAACTATTATTTTAATACATGAACAATAATATATAATATATTATACTTCCAGACTAAAGCCAATCTCCAGAATGGCAGAGACTTCGTTGGGCTCAAAAATTATGCCCTTAAATTATGTAGAATATCAACTGCATGTTCACAGTCACAGCCTTAATTCGATCACGTTTCTGTGTTTTTTTTTTTTTGTTTTTTTAATCTTCTTATCCCAGGGATTAAGGAAATGATGATGACTTTCTTCAACCTTTTGATCTGTTTTTTTTTTTTTTTCTTATTGTTGGATCAAATCTAAACTCAAACTCCTGCAGGGTTATTTCCCACAGGTAACATAGATTATATGAAGCCTCAAATTACAGTAAATTAATTGAAGATGATGTTTACCGACAACAAAAATGTTAGGTAACTTAATTGTAGAAGGCAAGTATGACAATTGGTAGCAGACAATGTCATTCACTTTGACACGGAAAATTAATAATTGATTTTAAGGTTGATCATAATTTTTTTTTTTAATTCAAACAAATACTAAAAGCAATTCTGAAAAAAAAAATACTAAATGCATACTCATGATTAGCCTTAAAAATAATTATAAGTAGTTAATTAGAATATTAATTGTCATCTCCTTCCACAACCTTTTAGGACATTATGTGTCTAAATTCTTGATTATTAAAATTCATTTGATAGATATTTTTGAAAAAAATAAATAAAAAATAAACCAAATATAAAACCATCTATCAAACCGAACTTAAAAAATGATTTTAGTTGAATTCTTTCCTCTTACTAACTCTCCAACTTCGTTCTTCCTTTAGTGCGTATGCTTTCCAGAAGCTATTCTTAGTTAATTAAGTATAATATAATCCAACTTGCTAAATAAGGCCATTTATGCTTTTTGCTCGTCTGTATATAGAATTTGTAGCAAATAAAATATCGGTCCAATTGCTTACGTTTTAAAAATTTCTCTTGCCAATAAGGTTAGATTCATAAAAATATTTTGAAAATAAAATTTTTAATACATCAATTGATGTGAAAAAATACATCTTAAAATTGCTGTTCTTGTGAAAAAAATTAAATCCAAATCCAATCTGAAAAATATATATATATATATATATATGTCCTGATGGCTTTAAAAAAATTCTAACGACCATGGTTCCCTATTTTGTTATTTTAGTTGGCTATTGCAATAGCTTAAGAGATGAAAGGTGTGCGTGATTGTCGATGGGAGGGTAATAATCAATTGATAATGACTTCTACGTCGAATTATTTTTTGGAATAAATTAATTGTAATTGTGAAAATTATTATCGTTGACAATTTTATATATGGTTCTTTTAATATTTAAGATCAGGAAGTCTTTAAAAAAAAAATAAAGTCGATTAAGATCAAGATTTTATAAGCGAAATATTCGATCTTTACCAAACTCAACAAATCCCATTGACATAGTTAGGTGGTTTTTGTGCAGGATGATGCATAGCAAACACTTGATGTTTTATGGAGAAATTGGTTAATGGGATGCATATGATAATTTCATGATTATTAATTTTTTAAAGCTTGAGATAGTGTTTTAATAATGAACAGTAGTTCAATCCCATAAATCAAGACATGTTGCAAGAATGCACCATTCAGTGACAAGAACTTACCCTAACAGAACAATCACTGAATCAATGTGCTTTGAGAGCCTAGTAGTTTATGTCTAAAACCCAAATGAGGGATCAAGTAAAATCATGAAAAATAATTTTTTAAATAAATAATAAAGAAGAATCTGCGCGCATCCAGGCCAAGCTCTATATGCCATCGAGGCAAAGAAGCTTGAACTGGGGAACAGACTCTCCGCATAGACCTCACTGATAAATTCACTTACAACATATATCATGAACAGAAAATGATAAATTAGATGTTCAAATGGTGTAATCTTTTCCCCTAGTTCCAAGTCTCTGATACTTACCAAGTAATTATAGCTTTTGCTTTTGTCAATCCACTCGAGCTTAAGCTTCAGTTACCATAACCTGCAAAGTTAGCAGTTGACAAGGGTAGTTAATTTAGTATGAAATAGGGAATGAAAGTTTATATTGAACAAATGCCAAAAAATGGACCTAGTCTTAACTCAATTAGTTAATGCAGCCACTTTTAAGAGGTGGTATCTGGTAGGTTTATTCAGCTCATTAGACCAAAGGATGATGTTAGAATGACTTTAATAATAATGCTTAAAGGAGGTTGGCATGATTGCCCGGCAATGAAATGATTTATATTTCATCTTTCAAAATTGAATAATGCATGTGGATTTTTTCTTCAGCTTATAACCCTACCATGTGGAGAACGTGTCTCATTGATATACAGATAATAGACATGTGATATATTCTAGCATGGATTCTATAAGCTCAAGATACAGCATAGATGAGTAGACAGTAAATCATTAATGCAAATGAACCATGTTGCTCACCTGCAATGTCCAGATAGCCATTAACATTGAATTTGGCTCCAAATTATGAATGGCAACTTCTCTCCATCAATACCGAGTTATTTGCTGCAGCATTTGTGAACCAGCTGCTTGTGAAGCCAACTGCTCGGAACTTGGCGAAGGTCTCATTAAATGGTTTGCACTAACTGGGTTGCCGAGCCCCTGTCTTATCATTTCTTTAGGATTATTTGCATTTGTTTCAGGCTGTGATGATTCCATCAGCGCCCGTATCTAATCAAGTAAATTGCATAGAAGTAAAAGTTTTAATGCTTTAGTAGAGTAGGACATTAGTTATACTTTGCACTGAAAATTTCACTTACCATATCAAGACGCTTCTTGTGGAGGTCACTTGATGACTGCATGTTTTAGAAACAGGATTCAAATTCATCAATTGTATTCTTTCTTATTTTGCAAATAACCAAAGATTTCCATATACAATAAAAGCTGCTTGTGCTAATAACATCAGAAGATACACCGGAGAAGATAGCTCAAAAAGGTTCAATTTAATATGCAAAGTTAAATGTAAAATGCAAAAGATTAATACTGAGAGAAAAGCTTTTGACAACCATAGATATGTGTTAAGCTAAGAGTTCCTAAATAAAGAAAAAATATCCTGAAAAGGAAATTTGAATTCACATACATTAAAGTCAAGATTCTAAGACATTTTGTGCACTGACATCTCAAAAAATGATAAAGAGAAATCCTCACAGGTCTTGTTCGGTTCCACTCTTCACTTGAAAATCCAGGAATAGTCAAATGCCAGTTTTTCTCTGCACATAATCCCATGTACAGCATTCATTAAAGCTCCATCAGTTTCACTTAAAATTAAAGAAGAAACTATAACGGGCTATCTTACACAGATTCAACATGAAAAACTTTTTGCAATGCAGCACTATTGGCTGTAAAGTAATACATAATTTAACATAATATATACAACATAGGAAGTGCATAGGAAGCCAATCTTGGGAAGGAAAAAAAATTATACATATATTATAGTAAGTTTCAGAAATTCTACTGGCTGCCAGTGTCATGGTCCACATCCGGAGGGCTGATCTTGGATCTCTGAAGAGTCAATTCCATGGTTCAAGAACCACATAGGCCTGAAGCTTTAGTCTCAGCCCATAACACCAGCAATATATTTAGTTCTAAATTTAAACTTAAACTTCTTTTTTTTTTTTTTCTTGTAAGAATGCACAAAGCAACTTTTCAGAATTTTGTAAAGAGAAGAGAAAGATCAGAGAATGCAGATTTCATGATGGCAAAAAGTAGCTCACTTGATTAAGTATGATTCCAGAATTTTACCCCATATAAATAAAAAAATAAAAGCACTAACTGAATGTATGTTTTGTATCCTTACATTATGTTTAACTATTCCAAAGAAATGCAAAATAATGAAGCACCAACCTAAGTGTAGCAAGAGATCCTTGGACTCTAATGTTGATGATTTCCGATGCTTGGCCAAACTGCATGCAAAAGTAGTCACCTGAAAACCAGTGAAACAATATAAGTTTTAAACCAACAAGACCATTTCTTCACTGCTGATGAGTACCCAGAAGTCGGAGGAAACAGTGAAAAATAAGAAGAAAGATTGAAAGAAAGAAATAAAGAAAGACAATACATCAATACATAGGGATTGTTTAATTGTACAGTTTAGGAGTAATGGTTGGTTAGCACTAACTGAAGGAAAAGTTATAGTTTTATAACACAGTATTAGGTTATAACAATTAAAACACTATTTTCCCTCTCTAAATGTAGTTATAGAAATCAAATAACTTAAATAAACTCATCGGGTTCTGAACCATCCACTGTGAGCCCAAAATATTCAATTTCTTTTCAGGCTAAGAACAAAATATTGCAGGAAGAATGTCACGTAGTTCTTAAAAAATATTCTGCAGTATTCAAGCTATATTTGACATAAAAAAGTACCCTAATGCTAAAATATCTTTATTTGTAACAGCTCAGCCTCTGAGATTATTTATTATAATTTGTGGTTAATTATGACCAGAAACTAAAAAACATGAGTGGCACATGCACATGCCCAAAACCCCAAACACAGAAAAGCAATAACAACAAGGAAAAGCCTTTAAAGAAGATGCATTCTAGCTTAGGAGAGCCTTACAGAGTCTATGAAATCATCAGCAATCTCCAGAAGTAGATCTTCAACTTCTGGTTCCAGCTTTCCTTGCGAATCAACCTGAGCACAGCCAAACAATGAATGCCACAATTTATCACAAAAGAAGGAAGAAAACCATAGGAAACTAACTGAAGAAGAACAAAAGACACATAGTTAAAAGCAGGAAAACCTGTGAAACCAGATCCTGTATCTTTCTCTTTCCAAGAAGTTGATTGGTTGCCTCAGTTCCTTGGCTTGAACTTCCCCCAGGTGTGGTTGTACCAGATGCAGTTGCATCAGGCTGTGATCCTGTCAAACTGAGAGTTTTCTGGCCTGCAGGTCCTGGCATCCTTGGAGACTGCTGCTGTTGTGGCTGATGCAATGGTGATTGTTGTGGTTGTAATTGTTGTTGAGGTTGTTGTTGTAGCTGCTGCTGCTGCTGTTGCTGTTGCTGTTGCTGCTGATGTTGCTGTGGCTGCTGCATTTGAGGATGTCCCATTTGTGACTGTTGTTGTACTAGCTGAGGGTTCAAGGCCTGCAACTGAGGAGAAGAAGAAGCCAGTTGCTGTTGCAAGAGGACCTGTGACTGCCTCTGAAGGCGGAAGGAAGGTGAGCCTGGACCAGATATTGACGGCATTTGCTTCAACCACTGTTGTGGCAAGAGAGTGTTATGCATCATACCCAGTTGTCCATTCTGAGCCAGCCCTGATAACTGAGAGTTTAAAAATGCCTGAGAAGATGTTCTAGGTAAGCTTTGAACCTGTGGTTTACAGAGGAGATATCGCACACTGAGATCATGCAAACAAATTAATTTGAAGAAATGCATTAAAACATGACAAAATCTCTTAAATATTGCCTACCCCCAGAAAATTTTGATCAAAGGTAGCAATGGCATAACGAGAGATTGAGAAATAGAAATCAATTTAAAGGGATAACATAACTATTTGGATTTACTTTTGCTTTATTAATGGACCTAAAATAGCATGCCATGGGTAAATCTTGCATCTGTTCCCAGTATAGCAAAAGGGATATTAGGCCATTTCCAAATAAACGCATTTTAAGAAAATTCAATACAATAAATATGCACCAAAAGAAGTGCAATCATTCTTCAACACGTGAACTCTTGGCTGAGAATTCAAAAGCTGTCAAATCATTTTAGATAAGATCCTCCTTCTGCCAATGTGCAATATGAAAAATTTCTATCAAACAATATGAATGGCTATTTGTTCGCAAAATCACGCCACTAATTTCCAAGTCTTCACCAGCACACAAGATACTAAATAATCATGAAGTCCATGCCCTTTTTATTTAACACATTAAAATGACTTTTTACAATATATATGACAAAATTCAGATAAATGTCATAAATACTGCTAATCATCCAGTTCAATAAAATACAACTGAAGATCTCACTTTTAATTGAAAAAAAGTGAGGGAGTATTTCTCACAGGAAATTCAAATAACCTCCAAGGTATAATGGCTTGATCAGAAAGAAAAGTATTATTTGCATGAGATGTTAAACATAATTATTAGTATATTAAATATTCGTGACATTTAAGAGTTAGCAAAACCCAGTTTACCTCAAAAAATTATTGTCATTGTGGCAACCGAGGAGATACAAATTATTCCTATACATATTACAGAAAGTATAAGCAACCTAAAGCTGCAAATTCCAATCATAAGAAAAAATAATTAAAACTTTTCTTGATCCATTCTGAGTAGACATAAGTCAAAGAATAGTAAACTTATGTTTGCCAAAAACTAAAGAGGATTGAAATGTAAGAAAATACTCTACTCCTTCAAACTTAATATCAGCAGATTGAAGTCTCAAAATTACATCATAGCTTAACGAGTCCACTAAAACATACAGTAACTTCTATATCAGTGCAAATTTAACTTCTATACCTATAGATAACCTAGACAAATTCCACCTATAGATGAAAATGATTTCTCAAATTGAACAATTAAAATAGAAGAAAAATAGGAAAAAAGCATTTAGTTTACAGATCTATCAAGGGGAAAGTGGTAAATACAGCATCGTCAGAAGAAAAAGAACACCTGAGGAGATGTGAGTTGTGTTTGTTGCGATAACTGCTGCCTCATCTGTCCCTGATTTATCCGCTGTTGAGCAGAAAGAGCTCCATTAGCCCTTAGTTGTGAGCTCAGATTCATCATCCCCATTGCCTGTATCCCATGCAAAGATTGGCCGGTTGGGTTTCCTGAATGAAACTGAGACCCTTGCACCAAGCCAGCTTTCTGCCTCGGCTACATAAAAAACCTCAAATGTTCATAGTAAAGAATAATCATATCTATAAGCAAGCCCTATCTAGTAATCTGTTCTGCAATAATCAGATTATTAATACCATTAAAAAATAATTACAAGGAATTTAATATGAAAACTAGATCTATTTCAAGAAATCATTATAACTTTAGATGGTTAAAAGTTAAAACATGATATAAATTGCTCAAGAGCAAAAAAGGATATCAGAAAAAATATACCCTTTAATAAATCCAAATTGCTTAAGCAGGCAATTGTTAGTTTTGAAAAGCAAGGAAAGCACTCATTAGCACTAAATATACTTGACTTCGAGATGTTCATCAACAATAACCATTAACTAGGTATCGATTATCTTTTGGAAATAAAAGAAACATTGGCAATGATTGATAAATTCCAACTTTAGCTATCAGTAAGATCTCAAGTTCAATTTTAACTTACTTAAATTACTTACAAAAACATAATTCTCTTCAAATTCCCTCCCCAACACTGCGGGAAGGAAAAAGGAGAAAGGAGACAAAATAACACTTAAAAATTGCGGATTGCACTCCAAAATTCTTCAATAACAATTTATAACGAAAAATTTATTAGTTCATACTGGCATAAATCCATTGGTTTTTATAACATACTAATTATTTTAGTAACTCATTACTTCTACACGATAAAAGCAATAGGAAAAACTTGCATCCAAAATGGAAAAAAAAAATATTTCCAAAAATAAAAACCCAAATCATCAAATGAAGCAACAATTGAGCATCAACACATCCAACTCATAGCAAAACTACGAACCAAATTTGCAATTACATAATTATAAACTACTTCCCCACTTTCAAGCTACAAATTCATTAAAATTTATACTTTTAAACAGTAAAATCAACAAAAGGAAATGCCTTTAAAAGCTAAAAAAATCATTTTCCCCCAAAAAGGTTTCCAGAAAGATTCATACCGAAGCTAAAAGCTGAGACTGCAAACTAAGCTGAGCAGCAGCAGCTGCAGCTGCACCACTGAGCATAGGCAAATGACCACTTTGCCCGATCAAAGCTGACCTTGATAAATTGGGATTGCCCATCGGTTGATTCTGCTGGTTCTGTTGTTGGTTTGCTTGAATTGAAGTTGACCCACCAAAATTCATTTGCCCATATAACCCAGCTTGTTGTCTTAAAACGTTGCCATATTGAGACTGTTGCTGTTGTTGCTGCTGTTGGCTTTGGTGTTGTTGGAGTTGGTTAAGGCGTTGCATAGATGGGGATCTTTGAAGTTGTTGGATTTGGAAATTGGATAAAACAGCAACATTTTGTTGCGTTTGTTGTTGTTGTAAAAGTTGTTGTTGCTGCTGCTGCTGCTGTTGTTGGGGAAGAGGTAGGAGAGGTGGAGACGAAATTTGCGAGATTTGCTGCTGCTGCTGTTGTTGTTGTTGTAAACTTTGCTGTGGATTTTGCAGTGAGGGTTCAATGGAAGGAGAAGGAGGAGGGATTTGCAGAGAAGGGTTGTTACTTTGAGGAAGTATTAAGGTATTCGTTAAGGGTGCTGGCATTAACGTTGTCGTCGTCGTCGGTGGTGGTGTTGGTGTTGGCGTTGGGTTAATATTTGCCGTCGCCGATGATGATATCGGTGTCGCAGTTGATAATGAAGGGTCCATCATCATCGGATTTGTCGACTGAAGGGGTGATAATGTTGAAGATGTAGTTTCAGCCATGCTCTGTTTCTTTTTTGGGGTGAATTTTATAGGGCGCTCGAATTGCTAATCCATGGAGGAATTCAAATTTTAATTTTCTTCTCTTTTAATTTCTTTTGATGAAATTTGCAGGATATTTCAAGAGAAGAGAGGGAATCTGGACTGTACACGTGTGGAATCTAGTTGGCAGAAGAAGTCAGAATTCAAAAACACGTGGCTTTGGTTAGATTGAGGAACAGCCAAGATCTGTAATAAGAAGTCAAGTAGCATAGATTTTGTGCCTGTCCACAACACTCCACTTTCCATGTAGGACTAGGTATTAGGCCTGGTTGTTTTCATGGAATCTTTCATGAATCTTTAAAAAATAAAAAGAAAACAAAAAGGAATACAATATTAGGGCACTGAGTATTGAATCTATTGATGATAAGTTTATTGCATAATTCTAGATTTTAAATTAGTCCATTAATTTTTTTTTAATTATAAGATAAAAATTATATATAATAATTTAAAATTTAAATCTTTTAAATATCACATACAAAAATTATTGTATAAATTAATTAAATTAAATTCAAATTAAAAGAGAAAGAAATACAGTATTATATTTCATTTTAAAGTTTCTATCTATTTTTGAAAAATGTTAACGTGGTTGCATCAATTAGCCAGCTTTGTTTTTCTTATAAACACAAGAAACTGTAATTACTTCTGACATCTGAAAATTATATAAAATATGATTTAAATTTTGGAAAATTCCGGCCATTGTTGTTACTGTTCATACATTGTTGTAATTTAATCAAAGTTCTTAAATTATTGTATGAATATTAGTTTTGATTTTCATCCATAATTTTCAAATAACTTGTTTTTAGTCGTGAACTTCATGAATTTTACTTAAAAATTTATATATTTTGTTATTTTATTTTTTATTATTAAAATGTTTAATTTATTTACACTCGAGTTGTGAAGATTCGCATTCAATTGGAGATGTATTATTTGTTTTGATCTGAAAGTCTCATAATTTATCCCACAAAAGATATCTCACAAATTTTGAATTAAATTTTTATATACACATAATTTTTTATTCATATATTATTTTAATGTGGGATTGAGACGTTACTTGAGTATTTAATTTAATGATTATTGCATAATTCTTCACCAATTTTAATTACTTCATTCAAAATCAAAAGTGTTTAGCTTATTTATTGACACTCTTAGAAAAATGAGTAAATCATTTTATGTAAAAAAAATCCTTACAATTTATAAAAATATGAAATTTAAAAGCTATTTTTTATAAAGGAGGGATCAACTCACACAAAAATGTTTTACATACTTTTTAATATTGATTTTAATATATTTGATGAAATTAATTTTTTTTTCTTTTTCACATGTCTCTTTTATCTTTATGATACACTAAAATCAATTATTCAAATAATATATATATTTTTTAGTTTTACACTGAAATAAATCAATCCTTCCTTTTATTCATATAGATTTTTCATTTTTAGATAAAACAAAGTTTAAATATTCAAATTTGAAAAAATTATGATAATTTTAATTTTTTTTTTTAAGATTCAATGAGTTAAATTAATTGAAAACAATTATATTTTAAGGTACATTTATTTATTTTAAAAGATATATTTAAAAAAAATTTCACATAACACCCTGTATAAGCAAATAATTTTAAAATTTCGGGGGGGGGGGGGGGGCCACCGCCACTGGTTGTTTAGTATACCGCTGCTTCAACGGGATGACATGCAAACAAAATTGCAGCTTCTAACTGGGCCCAGTCGGTAGATAGCCAGCTTGGTCCGGAATTGATAATTGGTCTTCTAAATAAGATGTACCATGGGCCGTGTTTGGACTGAACTTTGTTGGCCCTATATTTTGGTAAGCCCAGACCTGTTAATATATTTAAAATAATAAAAGTATTTTATATTATTACTATTTTTTTTACAAAAAAAGTTTTAGACTAGTGTTTACATTGGACTTAATGATGACATATAAATGTTATAGATAAGAGAGTTATTTTTGTTAAGTAATGATTTTTTATGAAATTTCTTACATCACTTAAAATTCAATAAATTCCATGTGTACAAAAATTAAGTATAATTATTATTTGATATTGTATTTCAATAAACACAAAATATAATTATTTTTCATTTTAATTTATTTACAAATTATGTCATTATGTCTTCTTAGAGACAATATTATTAGACAATAAAAATGAAATAAATTAACAAACTACGTATTTATATATAATGACATATAAAAGTGTTCGTGATCGAATTAAGTCAAATTTGAGTAAACTTAACTCTTAAGCATAATATCAATATTTTATGTTTGTCGAGCTTAACTCAACCAGATAGTTTGAATTTTAAAATTGTGCCTAAGCTTGCCTAAATTAATAAATGGTCAGTTAGGCCTGTTTAAGGCTATTCATATTTTTTTTTCTTAAGAAAAAGATAAAATATAATTTTTATTTAAATTTTAGTATTTTTGTTTTTATTAAGTTTTGAAACGTTGATAATTTAAAATATTTTTTAATGTTTACATTATAATATTATGTATTTATTTTTTATATAATACAAAATATATAAATATAAAATAATATATATTTTAAATAAGATCGAGTTAGATTTGAACCTATATTGGATGAGTTTAATTTTAAATGAATTTTATTTTTTGTTTAAATTTATTTATTGAATTTAATATTTTAACTAAAAAATAGTTAAATATTGAAGAAACCTTCGAGTTTCAATGGGTAATTCGTCTTTTTAATATAAGAGCAGATGTAAATGGAGTTGTGGACACCCTAAAAATTAAAAATAAAAAAAATTTAAAGGAGAATTTTTTTAGACACCTTTAAAATTTTATTCTAGATACTTTTAAAAATAAAAAAATAAGATAATTTAAAGAAAAATTCCCTCCAAACACTCTTAAAATTTTATTCCGGACACCTTTTTTATTAACAAAATTAATAAATTCGTTACTATATATATATATATATATATATATCACTAGTGGGTATTTTCAAAAAGAATTTTAGATCCATCCTTGCTTTGATACCTATGATATCATTGTTACCACCCCGCAGCATATCCAACAGCTCCTTAAACCTTTAAAAAGTTTATTTGAATAGATAATGAAATTAATTTCGATAAGATTAAAAAAAATAATAATGATATAATTAATTATTATAATGATAAAATTAAATATTATAATGATATAATTAAAAATAATTATAAAATATATATTTATATGTAAATATAACGATGATGGTAAGATAAAATATAATAAAAAAATTTATCATTATAGATATTAGATTAAAATTGATGTATAATAAAATTTGTAATATATTTGGTATTTATAAAGTTAACAAATAATTAAAATTTAATATTATTGTTTTTATATCAAAATAATAATTATTTTTAGTTTAAAATAAAATTAAAAAAAAAGAATGAACAAAATTAAAAAAAAAAAGCTTGAGTGCGCTGTGGTTTCAAAAGTAAAAAATAAAATAAAATAGGATCTTTTATGGAAAATGGAACTGCAGTGAGAATGAAAATTCTTACTTGGCCCCCTTCTGTCCAGTGAAAATTTTGAGGCACGATAAGATTTTTTTTTTTTTTTCAATCACACTGATAATATGATATCCAAATAATTACAAAAAAAAAAATAATAATGAAACGGGACTCAAGTCATATACAAATGCAACCTAAATCTAAACGAGTGGTGAAGATGAAGCCCCAAACAATTCGAAGAATTCGCGTCGGCAGGAAAACAAGTTTGAGGCCCCATTTGGAATGAATTGAAGCTACTATTCAGTGCATTTAGGCAACTTTTTAGTGTAATTGCGCCATATTTAATTGTTTGGGCAACAATAGCACGGTTGAATCATGCGTACGTGGCACAAATGAAAAACTTAAACTCCACTGATGGGAAAAGGCATGTGGCCCACTGCACTTTTTTTTTTTTTATATATTTTTAATTTTGAATTATTTAAATAGACGATGAATTTGAAAATAATAAAAATAATGAAATTAATTATTATAATAATAAAATTAAATACTGTAATGATGTAATTAAAATTAATGATAAATTAAGTGTTTGGATATAATTAAGTGAGATAAAGTATAATGAAAATAGAAAATAAATATTAAATATATTATATTAAAATTTATATAAAACAAAAAATTTAAATTATTTTACATTTATAAAATTAATAAATAATTAAAATGACTAAAATTAGTTTTATTTTAAATAATAATTTTATTAATAAATATTTAAAAATTAATAAAATTGATAATAATATATAAAAATGATTTTTTTAAAATTTGATAATAATAATTTTATATTAAAATATTAATTATTTTTATTCAAAATAAAATTTTAAAAATAAAAAGAAATGGAAAAAGCTTTTAAATAAAAAAATGAACAAGACTAGACTAAATACATTCTCATTGCCACATTAAAATCTAAAAAAAAGAAAAAAAAGATAACAGGGGCTTATTTGGAAAGATATTTCACTGGAGCTTGAAGCACCAGTCCGATTTAAAGCTGCAGCACGGTTAACATTCATTTCCACCGCACCATTCACGTGAGCCGAATACATTTTTTTGAACTGTGTTGACATAAGTTTTAATGATAAACGAAGCTCTGTTTTAATCAAAATGCAGCCTTCTTCTATTTTTTATTTTAAACATTTAAGAAATAATTTTTTAATTTAATATAATAAGTTTTGTTATTATATAATAAATTAATAAATAAATAAAATTATTATTATATTATAAACTAAAAAATGATTATTTTATAAATATAATTATAATATAAATTAATAAATAATATTATATTATAATTAAAAAATAAAATTTATTAGATTACAATATTATTTTATATAAAATAATCTAATAGCTTTTCATTTATTTATTAATTATATCAAAATTAGATAATTTAAAATATTTATTACATATAAATTTTAATTTAATACATTTAATGATTTTTTTCACTATAATTTACTTTACTTTTATCATTGTGTTTAAATTCATTACTAAATTTAATCTCATCACTTTAAGAATTAATCTCAAAAGCTAAAATAATTAGGCCCTTGGATGCAGTTGAAGAAGAAGTGAGGAGCAGTTGCCATGGGCAGATGTGCTCACTCGAGGTTTTTTCCCCAAATGATTTAATGGTGCGTTTGCTGAAATGTCGGTCATCAACTAGTCATTTTTACCACAGTCGATGATCGGCTATTGATTTTTTTTTTTCAATTTATCTTTTTTTCTGGAGAAAAATTTTGAAGTAAATAGATTGGTCGATCCCTTAAATCAAGATAAAAAATATCGTATTTAATAATTTAAAATAGATGAATACATATTATGCATTTGAAATAATTTTAATAAATTTTTTTATTATGAATTTTTATTTAAAAGTCTTAAAATAAATTTTTTTATTAATTTAATATCATAAATAAATTTTATTACTTATTAATAAATTTTATTATTTATTAGCAACTTTTATATAATAAATAAATTTTATAAATATTAAATAATTTAAAATTTTAATTATATATATTTTAATTTAATATAATTAATAATTAATTTATTTTTTATTATAATTCATCGTTATTATTATTTTTATATTTAAATAAATTATTAATTATTAATTTTATTATTATAATAAATAATTTTATTTTTATCATTATTTTAAATTTAATCGTTTATTTAAAAGAATCCTTAATCTCATTTGCATTATTATTTTCAACCTCATCATTCATTTATATGGATCTACTCCAATCTTATAGGTATAAAACTCAGCATTCCAAAACAGACGCAGGACAATCAATGAACCAAAGCAACCTCCAAAAAAATATTGCACCTGATAAAGTTAAACAGGGAGAGGACTAGGTAAAGAAGAAAGATAAAAAAACCACAAAAAAAAAAAAAGAAGAAATTTCTATGCCTCTGAATTGCCGTGCCCTTCTCTTAGAAATTCTTGAGAGAGACAAAACAGAGAGAGACACCAACAACAACAACAACATCGATTTTATAGTTGTGTCTTTCTGAGCGTGTCAATAAAATCTTCCTTCTTATATTCTCTCTCTCCCTCTGTCTCTGTCTATCTGTCTGTCTCTTTGGTGGTTTCATGATTTCAGGACCTGTCTGTTGAATATAATCTATCTCTTTCTCATCCATCTCCAGAAACAATAGACGATTCCGTTCCAATCTTTGTAAAACTATTCATATCTGTTTTTTTTTTCTTGGGAAAAAATAAATCAAAATCAAAATCCCCTTTTTTTTTTTTAAGATTTCAGTTCTGCTGCTTTTTTCTGTGTCTTGTCCCTACACGTCTTGTTGTTTCAAGGTAAGAGATGGAAAATGCATAGCAACCCAGATTTTGTTTTATCATATTTGTGTTCTTTTAATGGTAATTAAGGTAATTAATCTTTTTCCCTGATAAATCAACTATATATTACCTGCTTTTAAGTTGTCATTTTTTTTAACTCTTTTCTTCAAGGGATATGGATATCTCTTTATAACTCTATATATGAACAACAGCAAAAAGAAATATGCTTCCCTTTTTTACACCAAGATTTGTTTGTCTCCAGTTTTTTTGTTTTTTTAAAGATTTAGGTGAATGATTTTGTGGGGGTCTTTCAAAATGAGAACTTAGGTTTTCCTTCTTTTTTTTTTTTTTTAAGAAGATAACAGGAAAACATAAGGTTGCTTTTTATGGGCAAAGGAGTTTGCTTTTTTGACACAAAACAGTTCCAAATTCTGTTTGTGTGTGTGTTAACACATTGTCTCTTATGCACACACTCACAGTCCTCTGCTTGGTTGCTGAGGAAAGGTGGAGAAAGGCGAAGGAAAATCTTTTAGCACTGATTTTATCCTAGCCAAACTGTTAAACTATTTGACTTTGTTAACTTTGGTGAGATTTTCTGCCCCCATAATCCAAACTGAAAAGTCAAGGTGTTAAAACTTTTGTTTTTCTTTCTTTTACATTCATTTTCTTCAGCAAACAAATAGAGGTTAGATTGTTCCATGCCTTTCCATGTTGCATTTTTATGTATTGTCGTATAATAATTTTATCTTTTAGAAGGAATAGAGATGAGATAGATAAAACAATAATGAGTGCCATCCGAACTTTCATCCTTTTTCTCTTTCCTAATTTGGATGTGCACCATTGTTGTTGTTGTTGCAGGAATAAGTCTGGTTTTGATTGAAGTGAAGTAACTTTGGAATGGAAGGTGATATGTTTTCAGGATTTGGTAATGGAACTCAAGTAGATGACAAGGTTTTGCAGACATTTCAAAAGAGTTTTGTGCAAGTTCAAGACATCCTGTGTCAAAACAGGTTGCTAATCAACGAGATTAACCAAAACCATGAGTCTAAGATCCCTGATAACTTGAGCAGGAACGTGGGATTAATTAAAGAATTGAATAACAACATTAGAAGAGTTGTTGATCTCTATGCAGATCTCTCCAGCTCTTTCACCAGATCTATGGCGGCTTCATCAGAAGGCGATTCAGCTGGGACATTCAAATCTGATGGAAAAGCTACTCAGAAGAGAATTAGATCTGGGTAAATTTGATCAAACTCAGCTTTTGGTATAATTCTGTTCTCTTTCACCGTGGAATAAGAGGAGTATTTTTTATACTGAACTGGAAAATTTTTTTTTGATAGTATTCTGTAACTCTTTCAATGAAAACGTGAAATGCATCTGAGGTTTTTGAAGCATCAAAATAATCCTCAGTCTTCACCTTTTCCATTGAAATAACATCCTAGAAATTTACCCTTGTAATCATGTATAACTATGCTATCTTGTTGAAATCGAGCATTATCTTGTTCAACATCCGCAAAATTCTGGCTATGTTACTGTGGATTTGTTTTTTTTTTTTCTTCTTTTTTTCTTTGCTACGTGTACCTTTGTTTAATAAATTAGTATAAGGTTATCTTATCCGTACTCAGTCTGCATCTTTAATTATTGTTTAATGGACCTTGAGTGCTTAACTGTCATTAAAAACAGTTTTGAAGCATTTTCAGTTCCACTGATCTACTTTTGATGGGAACTTTCAACAACCCCTCTTTATTCTTTCCCGATGTCTGTCAAAAGAGATTCTTGATTGTGTATTGTAGATTGCAGTGAAGGGGTTGGTATATACTGTTTTTATATCCCTCAGATTGCAGGTTCTTTAAGTTTAGAAGCTCGTGTTCATATTCTCTCAGCTTTGTGTCCCTGCGGGGAACTGAGTAAAATACTAACATACAATTCTGCAATGATCTTGAGAATTATATGCCTTTTTCGGTTGAAGATGCTATGGGGAACAAAGTGCAGAAAGCAGCTTTAGCTTTGGGTTTATTTCATTTTGTTTTGATTGAAACACCATAAGCTTAAACCTCCAATTGGACATGATGACTGTCCTTTGGACTACTATATTGTCCTAATCAATGGCAATCACTTGGAAGTCTTACGCATCCTTTCTGTTGAGAAAAAGGAAACTTAAGTGCTAATAATAGAGAAGACTCCACCCTAGGTGGTATAAAAGAAAGCACCAGCACTTAGAGAAAGAGAAAATCAGACAACAAAGGTCAGGGTCAAGTGATTACTTGATTTCTATTGCATTTTTTGTGATGTCATTACAGTTTTCATTTATCCATCTTCTGTCCACAGACACAGGCAATTGATAGAACAAACACGTTTGTTAGTGGAGCCCTGGACTTTCGTTGCATTTTCCTTTCTGTTATTTTCCCAGAACCACTTATCACTTTCCTAGATTTGGGTGGAGGACCCCATGTGAATGTTTTGCTGTGAATGGCTAGTTTCTTGTTTAAATTTTGAACATTATTGCCTTTAAATAAAAGTAAAAGGAAGAAATGAACATTGTTGACATAGGTGTTACTCCAATTATTGGTGCTCAAGTGAAGTGAAATCTTGTAAATCAAAACAAATGAGACTATCCCAATGCTTGTGGGCTCTGCTGTACAATGGTTAAAGACTTAAAGTTTAATCCTTGGATATTTGCTTGATCTTTGTCTTTCCTGACAACTTTTTCTACCCATATTAATTGACCTTAACATCCATTTTCCAGCCACCAATCAAGGCAACATGTGAAAACTCTTTTCTGGCATCTGCAGGAAGCTGCACCGGTTCCATAGCTCATACAATAAAAGCAGATCACATATTGCTTTTGTTTAAGGTGATCATTAAAGATTAGATCAGTTATGCTTGGTGACAGCTAGGACAAAACCAGATAGCACTGTCTGAAACAAAACATGTGATCAGAATAGATAATCTACCACTAATACTTCTTTAATGAGCTCCTTCGTCTGGATTGGCATAACAATAATGCCTTCATCCTTTGATCACTTTTATAAAGTTTTTGCAGATAGTGGATCACAGAGATAAAAAAACTTGCTGCATCCTGAACATTAAATTTGGCTGATTAGCACTATCTGTCAGGCTCATCAGGCTGGTACCCCATTTTGGGGAACTTACTTTCAACTTTTGCGGCTGTCCATTCTGAGGAAACTTAATTAAATCATTGCCTATATTTGTTCTATCCACTCAGCTTGAATCACGTTCTGAAGCAAGACATGCATTGCCTTGTTTGCAGTGAAATTACCCCGTCCATCACGTCCATAAAGATACATTTTCCTTAAATTCTATTTTAAACTATAAAAATTTAATTAAAAAATAAAACATGTGATAATTTTTTTAATCTCATTTATAAAATTAAAAAAATTTTATTATTAGTATATCAATAAAATTTCACGGTCAGTTAAAAGAAATATTGCATTATTGATATGATTAAAAAGGGTTCATTTAGCTGACTTCTTATGCATCAAATATCAAATATAAATATGAAATTGAAGGTTTAATGCTGCAAAGGACTCACCTAGAGAAAGAAAAAGGAATGGGTGTAATAACTTTTGTGGACTTCAAATAAAATGAAATCAATGGGTCTCCTCCTAACCTAATCAAAGTCAATTTTATGCTAAAAAACAGATGACGTGAATAAATTATATTCCAAAGATAACATAGTTTTTTTTTTTTTTTTTCCTTTTCAGCATTGTGGAAAAGAAAAAGGTAAATGACCCAAATGTGGGAATCTAAAGGGCTTTTGAAATGGAAGGTGGGAGAGAGAAGACATGAGGATTTTTGGTTTTAAAAAGTTGGGCATGCTCTCTGCACTTACAGTGGAGGAATCAAACAATAAAGAATGAAAGATTGCGTCCGTACTCCATTGTATCCTTCTATGTCCCTGTTCTCTTCCATTTTTTTCTTCATTTATTAGTTTTATATATCGCACTAAAAGAGGACTTCATTTTTGGTGAATGTTAGTTGTAATGATAAAAGTTTGATTTTGGCAATACTGTAATTGGAACAGTGTCAAAAGTAAAAAATAAAACTCTAATTAAAGATTTTAATTAACCCATGAAAAAATCCATAATTGTTAACATATTTTTTAAGGGTCCATTTCAAAATTCGGGAAGACTATTTTAATATCAGAAGATGCGATTTATAATTGTATCCTTTTTATGCGGTGAGAGCTTTTCAATTTCTAATTGAAAAGTTTCATAGGATTCTTTAAAAGAAATTAACTATCATTTAAGTTAAAATTTTCAAGCTAAAATTGTAGCAATAAATGAAAATGAAAACTCTGATGTTGAAATGAACCTGCCATGAGATTATCATAGCTGCTTTAGGCCAAGCCTTTCAGTTTGCCCTCAAAATCAGCATTCATTTTGGTATGAAAATTACTATGAAAATTACCATGTAAAAATTTCAGTAGATCAACTTCAATGTAAACTTTTGCAGTTCAGATTCAGGAGAAACAAATTTACCAGCCTGAAAACATCACAGGAGCTTGAGTATGCTTATGGCAGCTACAGCTCTGCTTTCTCCATCAATATAGTCAAATACTCTTTCCAATCTGATTCCTTGTCTCCTCCATTTACAGCCTATTAAGAGAAAATAAAAAAGAAAAAGGTGGTTTGAAATTTAAATGTTTGTGCATAAATAATCACTGATTCCATTGCTTTTCTTGCATTGCCTTTTGAACGATTCCACCACACATTGTACGGATATTATTTGTTCCCACTTCAATTCAGACATCGTTTTGTTGATGACTACCTTTTTTATTGCAATGACTAAATCTTTTTATTTTGTTTTTAATGAATTTAGGAATCTCTGCATTTGAAAGAACAGCTGTAAAATCATGAATGACAAAGAATAAATTGGACATCACTAATTGTTCTAGAATACCAAGATGGAGAGCTCAAACCAGTCTGCCTTTATTCCTGAAATAAAAGGAAAAATCTGTTGTTAGAATACTAGATTATGATCTGTTAGTGATCAAAACTCAGATCCTGAGAATTTCAAGAATAAAAAAGATGAAAAATAGCAGAGAGTTGTCTCAGAACCTTTGACTAGGAAGTAGCAGTGGTATGAACTATTCAGAGAATGACTAGATATATTATGGGTATGTTTTTTTTCCCTTAACAGAAGCAGACATGCTTATTCACAGACCTCAAATCAATGTGAATCTTGGTTGTTGGACTACTTCAAGTGCTGCCAGACATGTAGATGCAGTATCCTCCATGGCTTCCACTTGCTGCACTACCCTGTCAATGGTAGCTTTGTACGAATTGTTAGTGCTTCCGTCTGAATCTATTACAATGAAAAAGTTGTTCTTTTGTGCTCTCAAAATCAGCAAACAGATTTATTCCTGTCTGCAAATTTCGAAGAGTCAAGAAACAAGCTTCACTAAAATTGATTGAAAATGAGCATCTGATAAACCTTTGAAAGTTTCTTTTCTATTTATTGGTTAGTAAAAAGATTTGAATCCGGTTACTATTAAGTATTGACATTAAATTGTTTCAATTTCAAGTTTTAACAGTTGCTTCTAGATTCTCTTAAGTTTGTCAGAATTGCCTTTTTCTAGGAACAAGTTGCAAAGGAAAAAATATTGACTACGAAGTTATTAAATTTGATAATTTTAAATATGATATTTTATTATAATATAAAAATAATATAAAAAATATACAAAAACGATAATGTGTTTAATATTTAATTTAAAATTTTAATAAAAATTACATATGAATTTGATAAAAATTAAAAAAATGTTTTATGTTTGACGTGTTTGATATAAATTATAACACAAAAATTTTTATATTTTACATATATTTAATGCAAAGCATACACACATAAATATGCGAAAGGGTAAAGCAAAAGGCCATGCTTTTCCAATCACTGACTACTGCAAATTTCTAGTTAACTTGCAAGAAGACTACCGGTGAGTACCAATAATATAACGTAGCATATTCGGCCTATGAGAAGACTAAACAAATACCTAGAATTGACGATGAGTCGAGTCGGGACGAGACGGAATGAATTTCTGTTTATCTCAAATTTTTTCGATTTTATATTCATCAAATTTAAATTTGATCTTAAATTTTATTTTATTTTTTCATATTTAAACTTGACTCAATTCGATACTATATAAATCATACTTAATTTGATTCGATTTGAAATTAATAAAATATTATTTTTTAAATATAAATATTTTAATATATAATTATATAAATATATAAATAAAATAATTAAAAAATAATTTTTATAAAATATTGAGTCGAATCGGATTATGTTTGTCTAAAATTCGAGTCTAACTTGATTTTGATTTTTTTAGTTTTACTCTATTCAATTCGACTTAAAATTCTATTTAAAACAAAAATCAATTTTATAAAATTAGATCGGATTAAAATCCGTCTGAAAGTGAGTTAGGTTATCGAGCCTACAAATACCTCTTCAAAGCTGAAACCTTGTGTTTCTCCACCACACTTTTGCAACATTCATGCTCTAATTATGGTGTATGGAATTCCTAAAGCCATCAGCAGTGATTCATCTTTCTCAGCTAATTTTCTTGGATTGTTTTCCACGACAGTTTCGGCCTTTATTGGGCTTTCCCTGTGGGCTTCCCGCAGTTACCTCTATTCTCAGTCAACTCTCACGAATCCCAACAACAAACTTTTCTTGGGCATGAAGAACACATTCCACTACGAAATTCTAGTGCCCTATTTGCATTTATCATACACTATAAGTAGAATGAATTAAAGTTTACAACAAATTGGGATTGGAAAAAAAAAACTGTTTTAAATTTTGGATTTTGCTAAAGCTGTTCTTAGGATTTTTTTTAATATTACAATATTAAATAATATTTTTTAATATATTAGGAATCAGTTTATTAATTATCAACTACAACATTTAATGAAAGAATTTTACAATAAAAGAATTTTTGAAGTTACAAATAAATAAACATTCATTAATTTTAAAAAATGCCCTAAGAGTACCTGTTAGTAAAACTCTTAATGTTTCAAATTAAAACTTTTGATCTTTAAATTATAATAAAATATTTAATATGATATTTGAATTTAAAATTTTTTTAATATGATACATGATTTATAAATCTATGAATTAATAGTATAATCACCTTTAACATGACTAACTTTAAATGATAATACGTGATGAATAAACAATCCTTTAAATACCACATTAATTAATAGATTTATAATTCATATATCATATTATTGATTTTTAAAATTAAGATACCATAATGAATATTTCACTATATTTTAGAATTTATTCATTATATTAATTCTAAAACTTTTAAAGCAATTATTAATATTGGGTGTGATAATGGTTCAAATTGGATCGAATTTAGTTCAATTTTTTCAGATAATATATAGTATTATGAATTTTAAAAATCTAATCCAAATTCGAACTGACTTTTTCTTGAAATTGATTCGATTCGAACCGAATTTTGTAAAAATTTAAAATATATAAAAGCTAATAAAAATATATAATTAGTTTTTATTTTTATTTTTTATTTTTTTACTTTTCGATCCGAAATTCAATTCGAATTTAATATATATATATATATATTAATATTCAAATATATATATTTAAAGTCTAAACTAAATCTGAACGGAATAAAAAAATTAATCTAAATTCAATCAAACACTACGATTTCGAATTAATTTTTGATTTTTTGGATTTTTTCTCCCATAATTATTATAAGTAATAAAATAGGATTATTATTCTAGATTAAAATTTTAAATTTTATAAGTAAGTTTGTAATATTATCATGTGTTTTTATTTAAAATTTATATTGATACATTATCGATGTATAGATTCTATA